ATTTTACTCCATTTTTTAAATATAATAATAATTTTTTTTTTTTAATAGTAATTTTTTTTAATAGTAATTTTTTTTTTTAATAATTTTTTTTTTTTAAATAACTTTATGATGTATACGAATTTGCAGATCACTATATCACTATTTACAGCTGATTTATCGTTCTTAAAAAAGTGATTATTATTATATCTTCAAAAAAATCTAGATTATAGTACAATTTAGTATCAATACTAAGTAAATTCAGTAGTTTTTTGTTTATAATTAGGAATTTAATATGGTAATAATTAGTTAACAAAAAATAATAAATAACATTATTAAATTATATTTATAATATTAAAATGATATAAATTATATTTACAATAATATAGTTTATATTAATGATTTGACGTTTGAGTGTATTTTCACCCTGGGCGATTTGGCGATTTAATAATTTTTCACCTTGGGTGATTTAACCTATATAATTTACCTGGTGATATTTACCCGGTGATATCACCTCATTATTAAATTTGTACATTAAATTTTATTGGCTAATTAATGTGCTTCTGTAACTACTAAGGTATGTTTTTTATTTTTTTGTTTTTGATTTATTACATGTAATTTCCGTTCCCTACTAACTTTATCTCTTCTTTTAATTTTATGAGTTTGGTTTTTACTTGGTCCCCCTGTTTATTTCATTTCCGTCCCTTCTCCATTTTTTGTTTTCTTTTTGTCTTTTCATTTCTTTTGCTCTTTTTATTCTTCCCTTCCTACATTTTTTCCGTTGTTTTTATTCCTCTTTGTTTCTTCGTCTTTTCATTCCTTTACATTACCCTTTGTTCCTTTCATTTTTATTCCATTCTCGCTTCATTTTTTTCGTTCCTTTATCTTCCCTATAAAAAAGGAATGTTCAGAAAACATACATAAAATAAACATAAAATGTACATTATACATAAAATGTCTATAGAATGTCCATAGAATATATAGGATATATGCAAAGGGGACTCATATACTTTTTTGTACATTTTATATACAGTGAGCCCATTTTGTATATTTTTTATATATTTTATGGACATTTTATAGACATTTTATGTATATTGTATATTTTACGTATATATTCTAAACATTCCTTTTTTATAGGGCTTTATACTACCCTTTGTTCCTTTCATTTTTTTTATTCCCTCTTGCTCCATTTCGTCCCCCTCCATTCTTTTCATTTTTCTTCATTCCCACTTGATCTTTTTCATCGTTCCTTTTGTTTCTTTCAGTCTCCCTTTGCTCCATTTCATTTCTCCCTCACTCCCCCTTCGTTTCCCTTTTATCTCCCTATTTTTTCATTCACCCTCATTTTTTTGATTAATTTTTTGGAAGTAAATTTTATAATTATTTCTTATTTTATATTACGTCAAACTTAAACTTATAACCAACTCAAAAAAAATATTTGAATAATTAAATGTATTAGATCTAATCTATTCATTTCATTTATTATTATTCTTTTGGTACTTAATTTGACTAAACCATTTGAATTAAATCTTTATTCAAAATCTGGTAGTTATTTAGAGAATTTCGGATATGTATTTGGTTATAATAATCTATTATTAAATCAACAATTCAAAAAAAATTGATATTTTTACATATTTTATAATTAATTAATTGATTTTTATGAATTTGAAAATCAAACTATTTATCCAACGTTCAATTTAATTGAAAAATCTTACTCATCTTTCTATCAACGTCGGTCAATTTTCCTATATCTGATATGTTATATTGATTTTTTTTAAAAAAATAATAATTTTGTAAATATATTTAATAAAAAAATTTGGGGGAAAGAAAAAGGGAAATCAAAAGGGAAATTTCCAAAAAAAAAGGAATCTGAAAAAAAAATAAGTACGAATAAAATTCTGAAAATTTTTTTTAAAAAAAAAATCGGACAAATAATTTTCTGATTAAGGTAAAAATTTTATTAGTTGATTGGAATGCACATGGATCGAATAGTTTTTGACCATAAATAGATCAGAAAGAGGCTTGTCACGGGTTTTAATTGTATGGGATTTCAAGTTACACAATTCCAAATTATTTACACGGAGACTATAAATCCAAACGTCAGACAAATTTTTTTAGTTATATAGATTTTTTTTTTTAAATAATGATTTACTAGTGAATAAAGCTTTACTATTTGGTTTCCTCTTTTAGATGGTTCTTATTATCTTATAACACAATGAATGAATCGAATGGCAGCTCCCCTGCTCTCCTGCTAATAAGTCAATTTCTTGTTTATCAAAAACTATTATTTAATGGCTTAATTTAACATGCAGCAAAGGTGGCACAGATAAGCCTAATTCATGATTTTACTCTTATGATTCCATTATCAATTTTTGCTTTTCCTCCTATAATATGTATATAATATATATATATATATATATTATATATTATATAATATACTGTACATATACATATATATTATACATTATACAATATACATAAAACATTAAAGTAAAAAAATTATGCCCATATTAGGAAAATGACAAAGGAACCTCTGCCGATCATTTTTTATTGAAAATTACCCATAAATTTGGGTAAAATTTGACAAATATAGCAATTAAAGTTGCCGATTTGTGATCATCAAAATTAAATTCTAAATCAGGCCAGACAATTTTTATTTAAATATCTTAGTGGTGTCAACATTTCAGCATTTTTTCATGTAAATTATATTAAAAAAAATGCTGAAAACGTTTTTTTTTTGTATTAGTTGTTAAGAAAAAACGTTTCAGCATTTTTTCATATAATCTAATATTTAAAAAATACTGCAATCACGTGGGAGTTATGTTTAGACTACCACATAAATAACTATTTACAAATTGTGTAACCACAGTGCATGACACACATGACGCAATAACATCGATTTTAATAGTAATAATAGGCAGTTACGCATTTTTAAATTAACTTTATTCCCTTTCCCTTTCTTCAACAACGAAAAAAGAGAAGCAAAAAAAAAGAACCCACCGCGCGTACCTAAATGGAAAGAAAGTAGAGATTAGAATGAACGAAAAACAAAACAAAACAAACAAAACAAACAAAAAACAAAAATAAGTCGCACCATAGAGCTGAAAAGCCGGGACCTAAATGGAGAGGGTAAAAGTTAGAATAAACGAAAAACGAAATTAAGCAAACAAACAAAACTAAACAAAAAATGTACCTTAGGGTCAAAGAGCTGAAAGAACTGGGACCTAAATGGAGATAGTAAAGGTTAGAATGAACGAAAAATGAAACAAAGCAAACAAAAATGAAAACAAGTCGCACTTTAGAGCCAAAAGCCAGGACTTAAATGGAGAGAGTAAAGGTAAGAACAAGCGAAAAGCGAAACAAAACAAACAACACAAACAAAACTAAACAAAAAATGTACCTTAGGGTCGAAGAGCCAAAAGAACTGGGACCTAAATGGAGAGGATAAAGGTTAGAATGAACAAAAAATAAAACAAAACAAAGCGGAACAAGCGAAAACAAAGAAAGATTTACCTAGAATCTTGCGTTAAAAAGAGGACTGACCTAAAGAAAAAAAATGAAAAAGGTTAGCAATCTCTAACTAAAGGAAAATGAAAGAAAGAGGACTCTACCTACCCGGAATCTGATGCTGAAAAGAGGGCTGACCTAAAGAAAAAAAAATGAAAGAGGTTAGAAACTTCTAACTTCTAACGAAAGGGAAATTAGAAGAAAGAGAAAATACGAACCCGATAGAAGAATACCAAATACCGACCTACAAAAAAGAGAATACCAAACTGATCTACAAAAAAGAAAAGAATCCGATGAAGAATACCGAATACCGACCTACAAAAAAAGTAAAAGAATCCTGAAGGCGTCGTTCTACAAGAAAGAGAATCCCAGAGTGTCGTTCTACAAGAAAAAGAATCCCAGAGTGTCGTCCTACAAGAAAGAGAATACTGAACTGACCTACAAAAAAGAAAAGAACTCTATAGAAGAATGCTGAATACTGACCTACAAAAAAGAAAGAATCTCAGAAAAAGCTTGCGCTGCACCGTGATTTTGCATGGCGCAACTTTTGTTTTTTTTTCTTTAGAGACGAACTTGGACTTCAGCTTTCAGCTTTAAAGTAAGTATTCGCGTTATTTTTTATTTCTTTTTTTTTTGATTTGGGAATGCTAGGACTCCGAGCAATACTGAAATAGGTAACAAGAAATAACGCGTAGAATAGGCTAAAATAATCATGAAAATCTTTCCTTTTTTAGATAAATTTTGATAATGTTGGTAAGAAATATATTACTTTATTTAGTAACTGACTGACATTATCATAATTCCGGCCCTGAAAAAATGCGTAGAGCTAATAGTAAAATTTTGCCAATTTCCTATGACCTATTTATATATTGTTCAGGGTCCTGGAATGCTACTAACGTTTCTTTTCCTTTCTTTTTCTTTAGGAATGAACTTGGATATTACCGGACACTAGATTTCAGCTTTAGGGCAAGTATTTGCAATTGTTTTTTTGTTTGTTTTTGTTTTTTTTTTGATTTAGAAATGCTACTAACGTTCCTTTTCCTTTCTTTTTCTTTAGGAATGAACTCAGATATTACTGGACTCAAGATTTCAGTTTTGGAGTGAGTATTTGTGTTGTTTGTTGTTTCTTTTTCTTTTTTGATTTGGAACACTACTAATGTTCCTTTTCTTTCTTTTTCTTTATGAACGGACTTGGACTCCAGATTTTGGCTTTGAAGTGAGTATTTGCATTTGTTTTTTTGTTTCTTTTTTGGTTTTTTATTGATTTGAGAATACTACTAACATTTCTGATCTGATCTTTGATTTTTGCATTTTTATTGATCTTTGTGTTGGGATGTAATTGCCTTGATCTTATCCTCAATTTTCGCGTTTTTTATTGATCTTTGTGTTCTTGACTTTTGGGATGTGGTTACCCTTTGATCTTATCCTTGATTTTCACATTTTTTATGTATCTTTGTGTTCTTGATCTTTGGGATGTGGTTACCCTTTGATCTTATCCTTAATTTTCACATTTTTTATTGATCTTTGTGTTCTTTATCTTTGGGATGTGATTACCCTTTAATCTTATCCTTGATTTTCGCATTTTTATTGATCTTTATGTTATTAGGCAAAAATAAAAGAGCCATAACAAAAATAGTTCAAAGTCACTAAAAAATAAAAATTGTATTACAATGCAAAAAATTAACCAATAAAATTTATGTATAGTGAAAATCACTATTAGTGAAAATCACCATTAGCAAAATCCAAAGAATAAATAAAAAATAATTTTTTTTTTAAGAATTGTTAAGTAAAAGTGCATATTACTATAAATATACAGAATTATTATACAGATTGTAAGCAGATTTACCCCTAACTGTTAACGTAGTTAACAGGTGAATACTAGTAAATATTAAAAAAAATGCCGAAACGTTACTTTTTTAACAGAAAAATGTCAAGTTTGGCGTTTTTTTTTTTTTTAAATAAAAAATGTCAGATTCGACGTTTTTCATTAAAAAAAACTTTTCTTTAACTAAAAATGTCAGGTTTGACATTTTCAATTAAAAACCCCGGGGTTTTTTTTATTTTTTTAGTCATTTTTGATATACAGGTCAAACGGGTCAACGGGTCAGGTCGGGTAAGACAGGACCCCGGAAAATACTTATATAGGTAAGGTCCCAAAAATATTTTTTATTAGTAGCTCTAAGCATAGGTTTTTACTATAATCGCTAAGCATTGTTGATATCTAACCTTAAAAATTATATAAAAATAAGCAAATCAATCTTCTAACCTAATTAAATTTTTATTATAACACATATAATTTATAAAATATATTTATTAATTAATATATTTTATTAAATCCAATTTTAAATATGTT